TGTTTGAAATTTAAAGAGTGTGGGGTGGGTTCACTTAGAAAATGGCTGTCACGGGAAACTTACCCACTTAGAAAATGGCTGCTATGGTGCTTACATTCAGCCACAAAACATACATTTACTTGAAGGCAAAGTAGTCCCCCTGCATACTCTTATCTTGTAGGATGTTTAGGAGGGCCCAAAGCATTTCTGCAAATAAATATGATGTTAAAAGTGGTTTGCTTTGCAGCATGCCAGTTTTGTGTGTGTGTGTGTTTTAAATATTTAAAAGCTGGAGGGGGGAAGGTATCTAAGCATCAACGGAGATGTCTGCGAATGCTCTTTCACTAGTAAATTATCACCAGTCATTTTCCCCAATTTATAGTAGACTATTGAGGAATTGCTCCAACAAAGTAAAATTACTAGCTCTTATTTCATTACTATATCTTCTTTCTCAGTGTTATCACTTGCATCCCACATTAGCTCCTAACTAAAGAGGAGAGTCCATTCTGTTCTGCTCATCATTTACAAATACTTTTTCATGGCCATTCTTGAATGCTATTACCAAGGGTCAAATCCACCAGATTAACAGTACTGGATGCAAAAAATGCATTAAATTCCAGTCTAATCCCATCAGATTAAACCCATTAAACTCTTTGAATTGGGACCTTTGGAGTGTGTATCTTTCCAACCAGCATCACCCAAGAAACTGTTCCTTGCCACAAAGAAGCTCTTTGCATCCCAAACATAACCTGCTCATACAGGTGGAAATGATTTGATATGGCCTTCACTCAAGAAAAGAGCTATGGCTCAGAGAAATGACCTGGTTACAGAGCAGTCCTAGATTTCTCTGGAGCTTTCTCTGAGCTCACTGTAACTTTCCTCTTTGCTTCATAATGCTTCATCTGCTCTATTTGTTTGGCACAGTCAAGACAAGAAACAGAACATACACAGAAAAGAATATGATTGCTGCTATGCTCAAAGTGAGGCTTTTGGGTAAACCTTATAGCTTTAATGAGTATTTTAAGAAATAATTGCATCAATGCACGACACTAGGATGTGCAAAATAGTTCATGCACAAAATATGTGCATAAAACAGCTTTCGGCAGTTTGCATCTGAACTGAAACATGTACGCTGTTCTGGAAATAGAATGGAATGGGTCTGTTTCCTTCTGAATACAGCCTGAAACATGACTGATCTGGACCAAAGTGTTTTGGTGGCAGGAAGAGCCAAGGACACTGACTGAAGCAGTATTGGAAGAGAGACACAGGATGGAGGGCAGGTGAGGTGTTGTAAAGGAGGAGGTGGGTGGGCTGATAGATATGCCATGCTGGGACATCTGCGGCGGTGGATAAGGGAAAGCAAGGCTCTGGAGGGTTTGTGCATAGCAGGATTCAGTGGGATACACCATACCAAGAGCTGCTGAGGGGATGATGGAGCATCATGCAACAGCCTTGCCCTACTCACTGTGTAAAATCACTCCAAGATCCTTGTGGGTTTTGTTTCAGCTGAAACCCAGAACAAGAGCATTCTAGGATTCATTCTGCGAAATTGTGGCTTATCCAGAATGGTTCTGCAGAACATCTAGAATGCAATGTATTTGTTCGGGGTTCAAAAAGAAACAATTTTTTGTTTTGTTTTGTGCATACCCAGTCAGGAACGTTTAGAATAAAAGGTTAAACTTCAGATTTCCTCAACAGATATAAAGCAATCTAGCATCACTTTAAAATGTACTTACTGAGCATTATAGAGAATGTCTATATTCTCAGTGGGTTCAGAGATTGCACTAAGCCATAATCTGGTTTGTTTGTAAACCATAGTTTAGAGTTTAACATGAGGTATGAACACAGGTCTTATGGCTTATTTAGCAAGCCCCAAATCATGGCTTAGTATGTGAAACTAACCATTGTGTTCTTCCTGCTTCATACATAAACCTATTTAGACAATTTTGTATTGAAACAAAACGATCTAAGGAGCTTATGAAATAGGCCTCTATTATGTATATCCATATATTCATATTTTAAATTGGTGCAATTGTAATAACTAATTTGTGTTTTAGTTAAGGATAATTTAATATAAAGTGCTCATTCCTGGCTGGCAAACAGATTACCAATGGGCAACTAGAGAATGCATGAATGATAATGTACAGACATGGCTTTTATTATTTATTCATAGAGAACAGTGGGTTTCGATGTGTGCCTTTGAAAAATGTTCAAACTGGTGGAATATAATAAAAGCACTGTGGAAAATTCTATTTCATTAACTTTTAATCATAAATCACTCTTTAGAATAAAACATAAAATAAAAGTCTGTCAGAAGCACTTAGGTCTAGAAAAGAGAAGGACAGTGGAAAAAAGAAGGGAAATATTACCAGGACATTCATTTTTTTCTGCTGCCTGTCACTCTCCTGCTAAAATGAGACAACACACGCACAAAAAAAGACCACAATTTTTGCCTAGACTTACAGGTTTAGGCCAATATGGTTGAGAGATAAATACAAATTATTGCATCATACTGGGGTAAAAATACATTGCCATACGTGGCATAAAAGGTGAGAAATTGATATCATGAATAACAGCCTTCAATAATCATCCCCAGGCACAGTACAACCCAGATCTATCCTGCCCTACAATAATATAAAAACTAAGTCAAGTCCGTAACAAATATCTTTTTATATGAAGATTTCAATTAAGTTTTTATTCTGTAACCTGTCTAGTTCCTAGTCAAACATTTTTCACCCTCTATTTAAAAAAAAAAAAAAAGAAGTCACTGTTAGGGTAGTTATGGGGCCCTTTACAGAAGAACTCAAAGGAGGGAGGTTTTGGAGACAACACAGGGGTGAGGGGAGAAGACATAATTTGTATGCAGAGGATCCCAGATTCAATTTCTGGCATCTTCAGGAATGGCTGGAAAGGCTCCCAGTCCCAATCCCCAAACAACTGTTGCCAGCTGCAATTGATAATACTGAGCTAAAAGGAATATTGGTCTCACTCTGAATATGGCAGTTTTGCCGGTCCTTGTGCACAAATGCATTCCCCAGACAGGGAACTGGACTATATCCCAATCATGAGATTATTATCCATCTTCCATATGTTTTTAAAAAAAAATTTCCCAAGCAAAAATCTGCACATTTCCAGAGGAGAGGAATATTAAGGAACTTCAGTGTGGATCATGTGCAATTTTAATTGCCAGCCCCGTTAAACAATTGAATATTTAATATTTTCTGCATTGATCCACAGATCAAACAACAAGAGCTTTCCTCAAGATTTGATCACTATAGTATTCAAATAATATCAATGGTTATTTCATACAAGTACCAATCTTGCACATTATCTATAGAATTTACTGGATTCCATTTCTGATCATATGATATAGGCCACCCAGTGACTTATTTATTATGTTCATTGGAAAATGCTTGGTATGTAGAAGAGTCAAGGCTATCCTACCCTGTGAATAGTGTCCCATTTCAGAATTAGTCCAGCCTGCGGTTATGCATTTGTCAACTCAAAGTTCTCAAAGAACTCCAGCTGAGATCTGACTTGGAGCAAAAAAAAGTAAGCTGTCACCCCAGCCTTGCATGCATGAAGCAGTATGTTGTGCTCAGCAGGGCAAGCAAGATTACACGATCAGTTTTTTTATGTTTAGCCTTACTAATCAAAAGGCTTCATATCACTTGCCAAATGGAGAATCACACCCCACTCTTTGATGTGACTCAATTAGAGCCCTGCATAAAGCACTAGCAAGTTCCCAGCCACAAATCTTGAAATACTCTGCTCAAGTCCTACATTCCCTGTCACCAGACTTTTGGAAACTGAGATGAAGAGATAGATAATAGAATTAAACAATATCAAATAGTTAATGAAAAATCAAAATTTGATCATCACATGCAATTCAGCATCAAAGAACATCTTTGGCTAATATTCATTTTTTTCCTGTCAAAATGGTATAGTCTACCCTTAAGCTCTGAGAGAGAGAGGGAGGGAGGGAGATGTTACATTATTAGGAGATGAGGAAGTTCTTTTTTTACATAGTGTATATCCTGCATGTCAGCCTCCTGATCATCTTTTGTTGCTATTGTTCAAAAGTATGAATCTCCATGCTTAAAATACTCATCTTCATCACTCCAAGAATCAGCATGCAAATGTCTCTATGTGTGCGCGTGTATGTATATGTATCTTAGTCCAAATTTAGGAACCAGGAAACCATGTATTCTGAGACAAAAACATACAGTATAAACCTATGACTATATTTACTTACATATATTCACAATCTTTAAGCCTATATAGGAGTTTGCTTCAGATGTATAATATTGAAGAAGATTAAGTGATGTGGCACCCAATATCCCCAGATTTATTTCTGTTCCATTTGAAAATGTGACTCCCAGCTGTATGGCTCCCTGAATTTATTACAGAAAATGGGTTCCTGAATAAGACTATGTTAATACAGACACACAAGTCCCCACAGAGATCTCTGAACAAAATGCAAAACTGTCTTTTTCTGTGTGGCGGTTCTGGTGGGTATGAGGACACCAGGGTCTGGGTTTACATATGGGCTCAGGTCCTCCAGTCTCTTTAGTTTTATATAACATAGAAGGATGTATGCACAAGGTTTTTGCTTTATACATAAACATAACTAACCACAACTTGAGAATGGGTAGTCAAAAATGCTTCATTTATGTAAACAAATAGAACTAGTTTTGGGTTTGCAGGGCTATTTTCTTTGCACTGGTTCTCTTCACAGCTCTAGCAAGTCAAGGTCCTTTGAGATGCTGTCATCTCATTCTCATCAAAATATCTGTTTCTGAATCTAGGTGATAATTTTGTTGCTCCTTCAGGTACATAATATTTATTTTGATGCTAAAAAGGTAAGTTTGGGGAAAGAGCAGATGCCCATTCTCAAATCAGTTAGGCTTCAGGAAGCACTAAAATGTAACCTCTCTATTATTAACATTATCTAGAGGGCTCTTCTTAAGTGAAAAACCACTTTCTTTTACAACCCCAGAATTGAACATACCTGGCCAATTATGAGTGGAACTACAACAGTCATGAACAGCTGTGAGAATATAGATGAAAAAGGCACAGAGGAGGAGGATCCAAGCTACAAGAGAAAATGAAGTACATCGTTAACACAGAATTTTAATTACAATTGGCTTAACAATGCATTTGGGTAGGTCAGCAATGCAGTATCTCTGTATGGCCCCTGCAGTATTCCAACATTTATATTTATATGCGTGTGTGTGTACGTGTATTTAAATTGCTGAAATCTTATGAGAACACTGAAATCACATGAGATTTTGACATTCTGGGGAAAGGAATGCCAAAGATCTTGAAAGAAAATGCTAAAGTCTCACAAGTTTTCATGGTTTCTCAAGATTTTGAAAATTTGCTTCTATTTTATTTTGGCACCTGCCCCCTGAAAAAGCTGCCTATCTTTTAGAGTTAAAAAACTGAAAGCCGTTTAGACCAGTATTTATGTATACTCCTATGGCATCAGACAAAAACCATGGGAGAATTCCAGGAATAATTTACATACATTGAATTTGTTACTAAATACGTACAACTATCCTTCAACGTAATGCAAGCAATATTAATTATCCTCAAGAATGCCTTAAAGCTCAACAACTGATATAATCCTCCACCAAAGAATTAATGACTAGTCAGTCACTCTGATATAACTATATAAATCAATCAGTGACAACTACTGTAGGGTCAATATCTAGCATGTATAGCTCTAACACCTTCCACATGTACTAGACTGTACAGCTTCCATCATGCTCATACAGCATCATCACTGGCGTGCTGGTGAAACTGGGAGTCGTAACTCAACACAACTGTGTGTTGAGTTAACAGCAAAGGTCAGGGAAGGCTGCCTTATATTCTGTTTCCTCAGAATATGGTAGAAAATGCCTTAGAGCTAAAGCCAACACTAAAGTGCTCTTAAAGCATATTGAGGTTTAGAGGAAGAATCAGGACCTTTACACTCCACCAGAGCTTATATCTCCAAAGGCCTTCCACAGAGCATAGTTTTCATTCCATTTCTACCCCACAATCCCTCACAAGCCAGTTCAAAACCAACCCTCAATCACCTCCCTTCTACTTGCCTTGAAACATTGAGAACAGCCAGGGAACACTATAAGCCAAACCATTTGTTATGCTGTTCCTTTCTAGCCAAGAGGACAGCACAGACTAGGTTACAGCCATAAGGGTTTACTAGTACACAATTTCAACACCAAAAAGCAAGTGAAAAATCCACAGGTTGGCTTTATTTCACACTTGTCCCTTTATGATGCAGGGATAGGGTCTTCAGAAGAAAACACACATGCACACATTAACACAGACACCAGGACAATTTCCAAAAAAAGATTTTATACAAGCTCAGAGTAGACTTCAAAATAATAAAAGAAGTAGAGATCAAAGGAAAAGGAAGTAAAGAAAACTCAGAAAACCATTGATTTAAGCCCAGACTTCCTCTAAGAAGCAGTTAGCAAGAAGAAGAGATCAATGGACAAGGCTTGCAGTATTGCCTCCATCTTCAGCTGCTTATTCTCTCCATCGCAAAAGCAATCTTTTACAGGATGGGACTTCAGCCTTCTGCTCAATCCTCCTCCTAATGGAGCTGTGGCTGAGGCAATCAGTAAAATGGGATGTAGGGACATTCCAGACTGTGAGAATTCATGGCGAATTAGATATCCCTGAAGGAGTGGAGACAGCATTGCAGCGGAGATTGGCAGCCAGGCAGTGAATTTTGGCTGGTGAAGTCTCTCCAGAAAAAGGAGAGATTGTCCATTTGAACTCTGGACAGCTGCTCCTCAAGAGTAGACTGCAGGAACTGAGATTTCTGTGGTTGACTTGTGAGTTGAGTGGCTAGGAGTTGAGGGATTTCAATGAAACTCACAGCAGTAATATAGCCTATATGGACACAAAGCTTGCCAAGCCTCATTTCTTAAACACTTTCAGAAACTGCTTAATTGCTTTTCAACTATTAAAAACCTTTGGAGGAACAAGTTTTTTTAATACCAGGTGAGTTTCCTTCAATCCTTAGCAAAAGAAGTTTTAAATACAAGTTTACGGACGTGTAAAAAAATCTCTTTTTTTGGAAAAAACAGCAAAAGGGTGATTAGAATGTTGATTTTGGAAAGTTATAAATGGACTAAGGGTCCAGATGGATTTGAAATAAGATTCTGAAATTAATTATAAGAATCCTTCCCATGGGAATTCAATTTTTTTTTTGAATTCTTAAAAAAAACAAAACAAGATAGCATGGGACTTTGAAGGTTGGACAGTAGAGGGAACCAGAAGGACCTAAGGATTACAATGAAAAAAGAACACTGAAATTTCTAATATAGAATGGAGCAAAATACTTTAAGGTTAGATGTATTGAAGGATATTTGTGAACAATGGACCCAGAAGATAATTTTAACAGTATCTACCATTATAGATAGACTATGCTTAAAAGATGCTATGGAAAAGAAACAAGTTTAACCAGACAAGACTGAGACTGATTTGAAAGTGGATTTAAAATGACAGGCTGTAAGAATGATATGGAAAAAGATGCTACCCTGGATATACAAAAGAAACTGGCTGATGTCTTAATAATTAAAAGGAATATACAAATAACAAACCAAAAGTGTGACCTGGATAATTTTTCTATATTGGATTTACAAAAGCAACCTATTAAAGGTTTAAAGGATTTTATGAGAAGAGACAAAGGAAAAATGAAAAGAAATCAAGTTCTAAGACTGACTGACTGACTGACTTATTTATATTTCAGATTTAGTCACTGCTCATCTCACTCA